AACCCCCTCACCCCAAAAAAGAAAGTGAGAAAGCAAGCCACCAGGTCCAGGACCTGAACTACAGTTATCCATGTGGGAGTCTGGCACCCTAACTACCATGCCAGCTGGCAGCTCATGCTGAAAAAACCCAGTCTCCCGGATATGTTCCGACATGCATTTTTAAGGGCCCCAACACAGGCCTTTTTTTTTTTTTTTTTTTGAGAGATTTTCACTGTAGGGCACGTGCGCTCGCCAGACAGACAGAGAGAGACATAGAGACAGAAAGCAAGAAATCACCCCCCAGGGGGGATGGTCACGCCACAATCCCTTCTCCTCCATTCTCCTCTCGGGATCTTGGGCACGCACGCACACGCGCCCGGCGTGAGTTTTAAGCCACCGGGTCCGGGACACGAACCACGGTCGACTACGTGGGAGTCCAGCGACATAGCCATTGCGCTAACTGCTGGTTCCCAACACAGGCCTTTTTAAAGGCAAAATTAAGGATAGGGGTCCCAGGCCCATGATCAGTTCAATGATTGGTTCAGGAGGGCATGACTATCTCATGGGCTTTCTTCAAATTTCTATTCAGTGAGGGAGCAATCATCAGGTTTCTGGCGTACTTAGCCTGGGTCTGTGTGCTCAAAGTCAGCAGTTTCCATCCTGCAAAACATAAAACCTGTGACCAGCAGATGGCGCAGCAGTTACGTCGCCTGGACTCCCACATGACCAACCTTGGTTAGAGTCCTGGACCAGGTGACTTGAAAATCATGCCAGGTGCATGTGCATGCATGCCCAAGATCCTGAGAGAATGGAGGAGAAGGGATTGCAGTGTGGCCATCCCCACCACTAGAGGGTGATTTCTTACTTTCCCGTTTGCTGTGTCTGTCTGTCTCTCTCTGCCCAGCAGCACTCCTGCCATCAGGCAAAAACCTCTTAAAAAACAATAAACAGGTGGGAACCAGCAGTTAGCGTAATGGCTATGTCGCTGGACTCCCACGTAGTCGACCACGGTTCACGTTCCGGACCCGGTGGCTTAAAACTCACGCCGGGCGCGTGTGCGTGCGTGCCCAAGATCCCGAGAGGAGAATGGAGGAGAAGGGATTGCGGTGTGACCA